CACACACACACACACACACACACACACACACACACACACACACACCGGGGGGGGGGGGAGATCGGCTAATGGGCAAGCATCTTTGGCGAGGGCTTTCTCAAAGCTTGACCCCTGGGGTGAGTGGGTGAGGTTCAGCCAGGTCAGCCTCCTTTTCCCACTTCTGTGAGCTTCTTAAAGCTGTGGCTGAACGCTGCTGGCCCATCCCCCTTTCCAATGTCTCCTCCTCCTGGATCAGTGGTGGGTTGCTGCTGGTCCGCCCCGGTTCTCGTGAACCAGTTGGTCACCGGACCTGGAAGTAAGTTCCAGAATGCCTGCCCCGGCCCTGTATACCTGGACGGTATTTTGTCCCTTCTGTCTCCCTGTGCGTGCTCAGAAAAGCAACTCCGGGAAGTTCCTTCGCTAGCAGGCAGGTTCTAGGACACCTACCGCCACCAAAGGATCTTCCCGGAGTTGCTTTTCTGAACGGTATTTTGTCCCTTCTGTCTCCCCATGTGTGCTCAAAAAAGCAACTCTGGGAAGGTCCTTTGCTAGCAGGCAGGTTCTAGGACACTTGCCGCCACCAAAAGACCTTCCCGGAGTTGCTTTTCTGAACATGGGGAAACGGACGGTATTTTGTCCCTTCTGTCTCCCCGTGCCACCCGCTCGTCTGCATTATAACCAGCCCGCCCCCTTTTTTCTCCTGGCATGGGCTCTCTAGAGGTGGAGGTTCTTTCCAAAGACCAGCTTCTTTCCGGCGCGGTGATGGCCAGCGAAGCTCTTACCGAAGGAAAGAATCCCACCACTGCGCCAGATTCAGCAAACCATGAGGCTGTCAGAGAGAAGAGGGCAGCGCATGCCCATGGGCTTGTGCAACAGCCGAATTCTCGCCTCCTATTTTTCAGCTGCTGCACAAGCCCACATGGCGTGCGCTGAACTCTTCTCTCTTGATAGCAGCCTGGTTAAAAAGAAGGACGAGGCTCTGCTGGTCTGAAGCCCATCCAGCAGTAGCAGTAGTTTCCCCCTTCCTCTGCCCAGCTCACCGCCCCCTTTGCTTAGGCTCCCCGCTGGGTTTGGGGACTTATGCCCCTCCTGACGTGCTTTGCAATGTCGTGCCCACATGGACCTCTTCATGGTGCTGGCTGGGCAACCTGGTTCTGGGGATCCCCTCCCCCCCGTCTGCCCATCTCTCCAGATTTTGTGGCTTTTCAGGATTTTCTTTTTAAAAAACGCCTCTCTGGGTGATCTTGAAAACCTGCAAGGTTGCTTTGGAAGGGGACAGATGGGCTGCGAGCAGGTGCCTGAAGCTGCTGCTTGCAGTCATTTATGGCTGCAGATAGATTGCGCCTGTAGCGGGAAGCTCTTCACCCTG